CCTACCGTCTTCCTTGGACGGGCGCTCCGCTTCTTTTTTCTGACGCCCTCAAGTGCGACACTCGATGTCCTGTCTCTCTTTACTCTCTCCCTCGTCCGCGATCGTGTGGATATGGTCATTAGTTAACCCAATGGAAGAAACGGTTTAAGTTCAATCAGAAGAGAAGGTAGAACTCCTAGACCGGAGCGACAATTCATTTGGACTGGAGAGCAGACAAAAATAAAAACAAAATAAGATTAGAGAGATCTAATTCAGCAACACAGTCTGGTCCAACTACGTATGAGATCCCCTCAAGCCTAATCGGACTCGGTCCGGTAAAAACACAGCAATCAAATTCAAAGTGTACTACACATACTTGTCGCGCATCCCGTGCGCCGGGTCGCGGCACATGAGGCGCATCATCAAAAAAAAAATAAAAAAAATTGAAAGGACAGGGTGGGGTGGCCAAACATGCCCCACGTTTCTTAAACTCAAACTGCAAGAGGGAAAAAAGTTGGGGCCACCCCATACCCCAACACTGTGAGCACATGTGTATGCGTGTGGGTGTGCATGTCCGAGTTGTGTCCAGTCTCATTTCCGAAGGGCCCCTGCAAATTAGCAAGGATGCCTCGCGGAGCAGAGATAGACATTAGACTTCCATTTTGTCTGTGTGGGCCGAGAATACATAGTCTGGATTCGAATTGAGGTCTGTGCATCACAGTTACGGGTCACTGTTTCTCTGTTGTCTCATTTTTCTTTTGTTTTCTCGTTTTTCTTTTCTTAGGAATGCGTGCAATGGCTCTAAGGGCCTCTACTCAGCACATGCACAAAAGACAAAACATATGGCGGCGTATTATTCCAAGTTCTCGTAGAAGATTCATTCCAATTCTGCACAGTGGCCATAAGGGCCTCTACTCACCACATGCACAAAAGACAAAACATATGGCGGCGTATTATTCCACGTTCTAGCAAAAGATTCATTCTAATTCTGCACAGTGGTCCTAAGGGCCTCTACTCACCACACGCAGAAAAGACAAAACATATGGCGGCGTATTATTCCACGAGCAAAAGATTCATTCTAATTTTGCACATTTGGTGAGTACTACAGCCAAGCCCTGAGAATAACGTGCAGAGACCAATAGGGCCTAGCGAAGTGCGCAACCCATAACTGCTGAAACACAGACCTGAATACGAATCCTGAGTATATATTCAGCCAGCTCGTGCTCCACTTTGTATTCACTGCCTGCCTCGATTTTGGTGGAGGGTCCTTGCTAAATTGCTGCGAGGACCCTTCAGATAACCTGCATGGGCCCTAGGGGATCCTTTGCTCTCTCTCTCTCTCTCTCTCTCTCTCTCTCTCTCTCTCTCTCTCTCTCTCTCGCTGTGTGTGTGTGTGTGTGTGTGTACACACACATCCCTATATTTAAAAAAATAAGAATAAGAATAAGAATTGAGTGCATCACCAATTTGCGCACGGCGCATGGCGCACACGCACCGCACGACGCACTGCCCAAGTGCGCCGCAAGTATGGTACTACATAATGCGGGAGAAAATTGAGTGGTGTCTAAGGTGCGAGTCAAGCGGCAGACCGTGCAATAAAGTTTGTGAAACGTCTCAGCTGAGATCCCCTCAGCAGCAAGTGTCCTGGTCCGAAAGCTTGAACTCCAATTCCCAGCAAGGTAGAGCAAGGTGACAGACGTCAACAGATTTGGGCCTGAGGGGCCCTTCTTGCTTGGGCCCAATCCTACTGGGTCCAAAAAAAGGTCCCAGTTGAGTCAAGAGTGGGTCCCAACCAGCAAGAGTTCCACAAAGACCTACTTTTTGTCCCTACCGTACCGAAAAACAAATTTCAACTCCAGAAAGAACCTATAGACTAAAGCCGTTCAGAATGAAATACATAAAGTATTGTAGAAAGATACGACATTGTGCACAAGATACTCCATCCATTCACTCATCAGGTGAGCCCGTCGATGTTGAAGATCGGAGTAGCAACCTGCAGTCCGTTGGTGCAGATATGGCTGCTACCCTCAAGCTCGCCTAACTTGAGGGGAGCCCTAAAGTCGCTCCTTGTCTTCCCTGAAGTCCAGATTCCAGTTGTAGGTGCCCTTCACTGTTGCCTCTCTCTAATTTTGTCACGAAGTCCCACCTTGTGTCTCGCCACCACATACACGCACACTAGCAACCTGGCCGGGTCTATTGTCGACCCTTCACGACCCTGCCAGGTGGGAGCAGCTTCCCTTTCACCACGCTGCCCCACTTAACCCTAACTTCCTTCCCTAACCCTAAGTGGTTAGCCCTAACCACTTAGATTAGCGTTATGGCAGCAAAGTCAACTCTCGCCAGCTAGTAGAATCCGCTCTGATACCAATGTTACGATCCTGGCCAATTTTGAAGTACATATTCATCAGAAAGTACAATGCCTTCCAATTGCAAAAAGAAATGAATGAACTTAAGATGAGAGAGAGGGAAAGAAGGAGAAGAAGAAGAAACAAGGAAGAAGAAGGTGATGTACACCAGCATAGACCAATGATAATGCTCTTCTTCTTCGCCAAACATTCTCCTCCTCCTTATCTCCTCCTCTCTTATTCAAACAAGAAATAACAATAATAATGTTGAATGGCTGAACCAGAATCAATGTCCGAATCCCTCTTCCACTGCAGGCACAACATGAGGTCCACAATAGCCATGACCATCCTTCCTCTCTCTCTTCATGTAGGCCAAGGCTATGGCGGACTACTGAGTGCTCTGCCCTCCTGTCCAAAGGACAACACAAAGCAGGTATGTCGCTGCCCTCCTGTCCAAGGACAACACAAAGCAGCTATGCCGCTGCGCATCAAGCCGCCATGCCTGACTCTTCCTCGAGGTTCCTTGGTGCAGCACTACCCCAACTGGGGCCTTCCAGATGCAGCGCCTATCAAGGTGATGAAGATGGTGTGCACCATAGCCAGGTAGGCACCTCGCCACTCTCCTCCTCAGTCCTCTTCTCCCTCCTCCTCCTACCGGTAGAGCTCCACCGTAGCCGAGGTGGGAGCTCCCGGTCTCCTTCCTCCGAGCAGTGCAAAAGTGTCCAGCGGTCCTCCAACCAGCGCTCCAAGCAGTGTGTCGCCAAACTTGCACTCCGAAGAATGAGGCTGAGCTCTTGGCTCAGCCCGAAGATATAGCAGCCTACTTGCCTCTTGGGTGGTGACTTCCAGGCCACTTGGCCTCCCAACCAACCGGTACCTCCTCCCTTTCGGAGGGAAACATCATTGCAGACTCTGGTATTGCCTGTACAGGCCCTAGACTCAGACTGGTTGGACTGGTACCCGCCTAGACCTAGCATACCGCTACTGGGCCTCTAAAAATGCCAACTTTGTCTTCTTCTGCTCGGCCTCGAGTACCCGGCACATCTACTTCTACTTGGTGCAGTACCGGCCTACCTGCTACTCGAGTGTTTTTCCGCTGCTCTAAGTGTCGTGGGCCTCTTGCTCCGCCACTTGAGTGTTTTCCCCCGCTGCAACCCTCAATGTCACTGCCACAGGTAAGTACTGGCCCTACGGGTCGCGGGCCTCTTGCTCCGCCACTTGAGTGTTTTCCCCCACTGCAACCCTCAATGTCACGGCCACAGGTCAGTACTGGCCGTACGGGCCTCCCAAACAAGCAAAGTACCCTTGCGGGTCACACACATACTCAGGCCGACAAGCACTCAGACAGGCAGGCAGGTCACCAAGCACGCACGCACACAGAGACTTAGAAAACTCGGCAGAATGCGGGAATCTCAGCAAGGCATCCATTCCATCGGCAGAACTCAGAAATCAGCAGTGTTCTCAGTCTTTGTTATGGGGGGTCATTACATCTGAATTCTTGCGGCTATTTCCCGAGATTGAGTCCTCCTCCCCCTGATGTTTCTCGTCTCCCACAATCAACCCTCCACCCTTTCCGTAGCACATGCAAAGGCAAAGGGTCTGTGAGTGGTACATTAGAGAAGCCGCAACTTGGATATATTGGTCATATCTTTTCCTGGACAAAGGTTATTCTTCTGCTTTTGTCAGTTCTGGATTCGTGATATGGAGACGGACTTTCCGCCATATTCTTTCTCGGCACGAAGAGCTCTACCTGCACCAAGGCTGCGTTTACGTGGCGTGCAGCGACACTGACGGCCATGTTCGGCACTCTCAGTTGAGAGCATTCACCTCAGACTCTAAGCTCTGCGAATCAACACATGGCAGAGCTGCACGATCCCGCATATACCCCAGAGGCCTTCGGTTGTGGAAAATGGGGGCAGTGAATGCGAAGGTGGTAGTAAATGGAGGTTTTTCTTAACAATCTTTTGTTTTGCTTTTGGTCAATGTCCTTCAATTGTTTGGTGTAATTGCTCTTGAATCTCTCCTTTTCACCCTTAGATTCACCAGCCTATTCAATTCTTAAGTACTCTTCCAGACCTGACTCACAGGGATCCCAGTTCCAACCAGGGACTCTTCCAGACCTGACTCACAGGGATCCCAGTTCCAACCAGGGACTCCACCCCCATTCCCAAAACTCCATGGCACATCCCTCTACACACTTTCTAGCCTGCTCTTACTCCGATCAGAAAGTTGGCCCGGGCGTGAGGTTGTCCATACACATGCTTCACCAGGTCAATATCCAGCCCAGCCTAAAAGCTGTCTGTCTGTCACAAGTAACTGAGAGAGTTCTTGATGAATGGGTGTGAAAACTTTGTACATGTATGGGGCTCATCGCACTGGGTCAGCAGGTGCTAAGTGTCAGATACAGGAGGTGCAAGGCTTCCTTTCCATGGTGGATGTGATGGTTTATGACCTGGACAGTAATGAAAGGACACTTCCAACATATAATGCAAGGAGATAAGGACTCAAACAAACACATCATTATGACCTGGACACCCTGATTATTGGAGTTCTTCGACCCACATTCAAGTTACAGAGCTGCAAAGCTCTCGGATTTCATAACTTCCTGAAATGAATGTATGTGAACATTTACATGCAATAGTAAAGGTTGAGGGACAGCCAGGAATTGCCGCTTACCTGTTTATCCATACTTAGCTCTAACACCCAGTCGCGAACCGCCTCCCTTGTGTCCTCTGCAGCCCCTCTCACAGAAGATCGAGAGAAATACAGGGGCGAAAGACAAAAAAACAACAACTGATGTCAATGAACTGCTGTGCATAGAAATCAACATACTGTACCAGGTTGTATTGCTCTTTGTACCAACAGGTGGCCTTTCGTATTTTGCAGCCACAGTTTATGTTTGAGACACACAAAGTTACAGTCGAAGTTCAACCGCTCGGAATGAGTTGCAGGATGAAAGTGGAGTCCATTGCAGACCATGTCACCCCACCCCATCTCACAGAAGTTCCAAAGAGCGATGGAGCAGGACATTAAAAAAAAAGGTAACTACAGCGATGTCACAGTTTGAGTTTCGAGTTGCAAATGAACTCGTTTTTGCAGTTCAGTTGTGGCCTGAGTTGTACATACAGCAAGAACTTAGGCCACAGTGTCAGACACGCTGCATGAAAAAATTCAGCCGATTGATCTAATAAATTGAACAGCTGAAATTGTTCTCACGGCAAGTGAAGTGAAACGGTTGCACCCAGTTTACCTGACTGACACAGACTGTAGGACTCGATCCCTAGACCTACCCCGTAGCCCTGTAAATTGACCCTACGACCCTGTGTGAGATTTGAACCCATGACTTGTCCCTAATCCCGTAAGATTAGTTAGTAAGTCAATGTTAATTCGTTGCAGATCTTGATCAGTAGGTCTTCGTATTAGCAGGTTAGTCTGTTTCCGTTAGTCTTAGTTAGAGTCTTTCTGGAAGTCTCTACCTGGCTCTTGGGTTAGTTGGAGGGTCAGTCTAGGTCCTAGGTTCTAGAAAGTCGTAGGCATCACTTGCCGTGTCTGTGTCAGCAAGTGATAGTCCACCTCACCCAGTCCCACGCGGTACCCATGAGTACCCAGCCACCACGACTTTCAAGAGGTCTTAACTTTTATTGTCATAGGAAACCAACCCTCCCCCCCCCTCCTCCCCCAGCCCCTCCCTCTCTCATCCTTCTCCCCACCCTCCCTATCACCTCATTGCTTTATTTGTTCCAGTCCCCTCCCTCTCTCATCCTTCCCCCCACCCTCCCCTAATCACTTCATTACTATATCCGTTCCAGTCCCCCTACTGCTTTTCTTTTTCCCATTTAAAGTCCCAGTCCTTTTTAATAGCCTTGTACTTTCTTTCATACCTGTACAATGCTGATCTTATTCTAGTTTAGAACTTTAGACAGTATTTGTCACCAAAATCCTCTCCTTGTTGAGTCAGGAACGGGCCAAATCGCAAGGAGGCCATTGTGTCTGCAGACTGAATTAGTGCCGGGGCTATTCCCCACGATCGCCCAAATGGGGTTTCTCCCCACTTGGCCTCTGCTCCTTTCTTTTCCCTGGTTTGGTCGAAGTCCCCTTGAATAGCAATTCGCAGATTCTCCTTGACGTATTCCATTGTCTTTAGTGCAGTAAAGCGGTGTCCCACCCAAATTTCTTCATTCCTACAACACCAGATCCCCTACAGCGCTGCTGCCCTCATGGTTTCAAAAACTTTGCTATCTTCTTTATGTTTGCGCATTCCTACCAGCAGTGCCACCTCATCCTCCCGGTTGCCCTCTTCTTCCCTGAGGGGGAGATTGTGTCTCTCAGCCTCCATCTGCCATTGCTGCCAGAACTGTTTGTGCCGTGGGCAGTGGAGGAACAGATGAGGTATGTCTTCTACCGGCTCCTTACATAGCTGGCACATGGGTCCGTGTGTCTACTCTTTGTTGACTGCCATTTTGCTGTTGGCACTGCTTGGTGAAGCAGGAGCCACAACGGGGCTGCTTGCCTCCGGTCCGGTAATGAGGTCAAGTTAGAGAAGAAGCCTCACCCCTCCGTCTCCCCCCATTCTTCCAGTGGCTCATCCGGAACCCCCTCTTTCTCCATCTTTCTGTCAGTTCCTCCCTAACACTGAAACGGCTGTAGCTGGGCACAATACATATCTTTGGTAGTCACCTGGTGGAACGGTCTGGACGTTCACAGGCTTTTTTGCGGCACACATACCCATCTTCCTGGGTCAAATGTCAGTTGCTGGGCCAGGGTGGTGATATTAAAAGGACAAAGGCGTGGTGGGCGTGTTCTTCCCTTGTCTCTCAGAACTGATACTGCAAATATGTCTTCGTCCCCTATCTCCCTCACCTCCCGAAGGGGTGGCAGGGTGGTGCTCAGGCCGTCTCTTGCTTCCGACGCACGTATCTCCACACCGCCCCCATCCAAGACCCAAGTCACCTGATGCACCTTCCCTTCCTCGTCCCCACGTCCCACCCATTCCCCCACCACCCTTCTCTCGTCCGCTAGCATCCTAATCTATGGGCCCAGGATTGCCTCACTGCATGCAGCCTCTGTGTCTTCGCCACCTGCTTGTAGAGTGTTTTCTTTAACTCCTCTGCATTCTTCCAGTGCCGCCACTCCCTGTCCCAAAGGTGTTGTAGTTGATAACCCCCCTTCTCTAAACCATTGCCTCCCAAAAGCTCCGGGCTGGCCCTGCCATGCAAATGGATGGCCATCCTCGGTCTGAATAACTTGTTTCCAAAAAGAGGCTGCGTCAGGATCTGGTTGACAGTATCTGGATACTTCTGTTCAAAAGTATAGTGTCTCCAGATAATGAGGGCTGGAGTCCACAAAGCCCCCTTCTTCAAATGGCCGAGAAGTTGCGGCTCCATGAGTGCTAGCCAGACCGCTTGTTGCGGAATTCGGATACCATCTAGACCGTTACTTCCACCGCAGCGTACCGAGCCTGAGTGTTGAAGAGCTGCATGGATTGCAGCAAATCAGGATTAAGTCGAGGATGATGAAGCTGTTGAAACTGCAGCGATGACCGTGGTTCAAACAATCAAGCGGAAATTGCCTGTCCGGATCGTTCCATGGTGTCACTTCTTCACTTGCAGGCACCTTGGATGGCCGCTGTAGACATGTCAATCCGTCGGCGTTTTCGTGCCTCTCGTGTTTCCGATGCCGAATATCAAAGTCTGTACTCTGCAACGTCATGGCCCATCCAATCATAATTGAATAATCTTTGGACTTCTTCGAAGCCAGCAAAGGCTCATGGTCGGTGACGAGAGTGAACTTCCAGCCGTACAAAAACGCTTTGAAGTGGCTGATGCCCCAGAGGGCCGCAGAACATTCTCCGGTCGGAGCCGAATAGTGCCACTTGCACGTTGGGCTATGAAATCGCGCACTAATTGAGCGCGTGGTCGGCGCTGAAGTTTCTGGGGTCACTTCTTCACTTGCAGGCACCTTGGATGGCCACTGTAGACGTGTCAATCCGTCGGCGTTTTCGTGCCTCTTGAGTTTCCGATGCCGAATATCAAAGTCTATACTCTGCAGCGTCGTGGCCCATCGTCCCATCATAATCGAATAATCTTTGGACTTCTTCGAAGCTGGCTCATGGTCGGTGACGAGAGTGAACTTCCGGCCGTACAAAAACGCTTTGAAGTGGCTGATGCCCCAGAGGGCCGCAGAACATTCTCCGGTCGGAGCCGTATAGTGCCGCTTGCACGTTGGGCTATGAAACGGCGCGCTAATTGAGCGCGTGCCACTTTGTATGCATGTGAAGTGGCGAAGTATGCGAGTCTGATTGCAATATTGTATCACACTGTGTAGGGGACGCTGGACCCATTTTCCAGCAGGTGACGCTCCCCACCAATAGATGGAGCCTCTTAAAACAAACAACAAAAAAAAAAAAAAAAAAAAAAAAGAGACTACAGAGGGTTTAGATTACACCAACAAGAATCGACTGTAAGTGCCAATCAACAGAGAGCGTCAGGTAAAACATGCAAAGGAGTGTGCAATTCATACACAGACGGGACAGGACGAAGTGGAAGAAATAGATGTGATGAGGAAGGCGGAATTAGGGAAAGGAAGGGAAAGAGGGAGAGGATAAGGAGGAAGGGAGAGAGAAAAAGGAAGAAGGCCAAGGAGAGAAAGCGTAGTACGAAGGAAAGGGTGGTAGGGCCCATTGAAGAAGCTGAGCCCTGATGCTACCGGCTGAGCCCTGGCCAGTATTGCCCACCTGCAGGTTGGGTGCAGCCCCAGCATGTTCCCTCATTGGAGGCTTGAACTGGGCTGGCTGCAACAGGGTTCCCCATAATACTAAAATGACAATAAAAAGGCCTGAAAGGCCATTCTGTGCAGATTTGATAGGTAACTGAAATACCGTCTTGACACCAAGAACAAAGGCCTGAAATACCGTTTTGACACCGAGAACAAAGGCCTGAAATACCGTTTTGACACCAAGAACATATGCAGAAGTCAAGAACAAAGCAAACTGAATAGGGTGGTATGGGAACAGACAAAACACACAACGCCTGGAATAACAACAGACAAAATACTCACACGCCTGCCCAAAATCAAGAGCAAGGCCCTCTCTACAATATTGGCCCCCGAAGCCCATGTAGAAGGCCCTAGGTATGCTACACCGTGTCCTGTTCAGCCGGTAGACTCTTCCTTCCAGACTGTCTCAGATTGGGCTGGGGGAATCCCAGGCAGTCCCACTGGGCCGAGTGGTACTGGGCTTGGACCTTTTTGACCTGGACCCAGGGCCTATAGGCCCGTGCTGCCTGGTGGAAGGCCCGTGAGGCCTCACACTTATGCTTGCTTTTTTTTCGAATCGGGGCTTACTTGAAAAATTTCCCAAAAAAGAGGGTTGGTTAATGTCACTTAATGAGGTAGCCCATGGAGATATGTCACCTGGTAGAAAGTGTTTCTCTGGGATCGCAAAGTCACTTGGAATGTCTGTCTTGACAAAGTCGGAGTTCTCAATGACGACATTTTCAGGGTCCTCCATCGCTTCTGCCAAGTCCAGGTACCTATTCAGAAACACAAATGCCATGTTCAACCATCCCACCTGCTAAACAAAAGACCACCACCGACCGTCCCACAAATCACAAAACAATTGAACTCAGTCAAGTCACGCACATGCCTTGCTCCTGCAAGACTGCCTTGTCGTCCCCTAATCACCTAACATAGCTGACACCTTCTAGTACGAAGGAAGGCAATGAAAAGCAGATGGCAGAAATACAAAATGCCAGTCCACAATGGTGTTATGGATCCACTCAAGGTTATATGACAAATCATTTTCTTTTAACCATCAGTACCCCTGAAGCTCTTCTGCCAAGCCTGCTTTGTGTCTGGCTATTTTCTTTAACCATCATTACCCTCTTCTGCCAAGCCTGCTTTGTGGCTGGCTACCAGGGTCGTCCTAGCCAGCACCAACATCTTCACCACATATACGATACCTCAGGACCATGGCAAAATCCTTTTTCCAAAAAGCAAAGGTGAGAGCAAAACAAGCCGTCGTCGTTTCGCTCAGACACCCGCTGCGCGAGCATAGCCCGGAAGCCACCAACCCATATTTGGTGACCGAATACGCTGCAAAATATTACCAGCACCTGTTCACTTCCAAGACAGCTCTGAGACCAGCTGACAGTGTCGCAAATGCGAGGCAACAACTTTTGCAGAGCCTCGAATCTGTTCTCTCGCCGGAACACCGCGCTTCACTTGAACAGCCCCTGGACCGGGCTGAGATCTACACTGCCCTCCAACAAATGGACGATGACAAAACGCCGGGTTTAGACTCGTTCCCGAAAGAATTCTGGCTCGCCTTCTGGGACACATTTGAAACAGACCTTTTGGATTATGTAAATGCTGTCCAGACTGATGGCTCCTTTGGGGGCCTCCTCAACCAAGGGGTCACCACCCTCCTCTATAAGAAGGGCTCAAAGAACGAAGTCAGAAATTACAGACCCATAACTCTACTGCCGGTCCCCTACAAAATGGTGGCGAAGGCCTTGACTAATCGCATGCTCCCCCACATGACACACCTCATTCACCCTGGCCAATCCGGGTTCATACCTGAAAGGATTATACAAGACAATATCCTTCTGGTGAATGAGACGATAAAATACGCAAGATAGAGAAAAAAGGAAGCGGCGGTCCTTTTTATCGATTTTGAGAAAGCCTATGACCATGTGGATTGGGTCTTCCTCGACCTGTGCATGCAAAAACTGAATTTTGGCCCTGCTTTTAGGAGATGGGTCGATACCCTTCCCGGAACGGCAACGACGAATATGATGGTGAATGGCCACCTATCGAACCCATTTCCGCTTCAGCGATCCGTCAGGCAAGGTGACCACATTGCCCCGCTGTTGTTTGTTATTGTAATGGAGGCACTGGCCACAACCATCAGAGCTAACCCAAAAATAGAGAAGATAGACGTGCCTGAAGTCCCCCACAGTCGCATCCCCGTCACATCGCTGTTCGCTGACGACCTGATAGTGCTGATCAAAGTCAACCGTTCCTCTCTGCAGGCGCTAGTCACCACCATACAAACATTCTCAATAGCATCTGATATGGTGGTGAATTGGGGGTCCAAAACGGAGGGGTGGTGGCTTCACCCCCAAGACCTCGCTCCCCCCCCCGACCCGCCCATAACATGGAAACCGAGGCAGGAGGCCATATGGATACTAGGAGTACGACTTACAGCGTTGGGCCCCCCACCCGACCACGGAGCCCCGCTGGTGGAGGAGGCCCTCAGGAGAATGGGCAGGTGGAGGGGACTGCATACCTCGATTGTGGGAAGGGCATTGGCTCTAAACACTGCGATCTTCTCTGCTATGTGGTACAAGGCAGCATGCTGGCCGATCCCGCCCAAGCAGCTTCAGAAGCTGAGGAGGGCGGCAACAGCATATGTGTGGAAAAACGACCATGAGGACCCCACGTTCCTGTCCAGAGTGGCGTGGGACAGCATTGCTCAACCTAGGTCGAAAGGGGGGTTGGCGATCTTGGAACCACAAGACGAACTAAAAGCACTATCTTTCAAAATCATCATCCACCTGTTGATGGGAAACGACGTTTTGTGGGCCCCTTACGCCCACATTTAGATTGCCAACCTTGCTCCCACCTCGCCTCTGTAAAGAAAAGTTCACCCACTGCAATGGCTGGCCAACCCGGCATGGTCGATCCCTGGACCGAATGTATCAGCTGCTCTACCTTCCGAATAGGTCCAAATAAGAAAGGATATACCCAACGATCCGCTGCGGCCCAACATGGTGAAATTGTGGAGAGAGATGGGACCTCAACACATGCCCGCCCCCCCCCCTGCGGTGGCACGAGATAGTGAGGCAACCACTATTTGGCAACTCTCTCATATGCGATGACCAAGGGAAGCCATTCCATTTGTCGAATCGCTCACATTGGAGACAGTGGGTAGCTAAAGGAGTCTTTACCGTGGGGGACATTTGGGATTTCCAACGGGGAGCATGGAAAACTGCTGACTAAATGAAGGACCAACTAAGATACGTCAGGCAAAGACAACAAAACCTGGACCGCCTCCGTGAGGCCATACCCCTTGCATAGATCCTCCCCTTGAAAAATGGCCCCTCGATTGAACAGGGGGATTGGGTTGTCCAGTGGCCCCACACTGGGTCCCCGTGTCTGATTAGCAAGGTGACAGACGTGACGCCTCTGACAGCCCAATTACAGGCATACGATATAGTTTCCCCGGGGGCTTCGTGCTCTGCGCTGCGAAGAAACCAGGAGCAGGACACAGTCAAAAACTGGGCAAGCCTGGTCAGGATACGGGTGATTGAAGAGACAGACCAATCCCGCTTTGTATTTCAGTCGTCCTCTCCTATCTCGGCCCTCCCTTTTGACCCGGCGGAATGGCAATGGCCTCAAAACGGAGCTACTGCCCCTGTCAAACCATGGGACTACATGGTCAAACAAGGATACCGAGTCATTCATAAAACATTGTCCACAAAAAAGACGGTGCAAAAGAGGTGGGAAAAAGATTCCATTCTGCCGCCAAGGGATCTGGCAGACTTCAGATGGGCCCGATATTCGCACATAATGCCAGCATGTCACCAGGCCCTCCAATGGCAGATATTGTACCGTTGTCTGCCTACCCCAGACTGGCTCGTCTCGCGGACCGATTGGAGCAGAAAGGCCTCCTCTCACCCATTTGCAGCTACTGCGATTTTTTCTCCCAACCCTCCCGAGCCACGTTGGAGCATTGCTTACTAGGGTGCCCTATGGTGACTCAGATCTGGAGATGGTGGGATGGGGCCTGGACTGTCCTTACAGGCTCACAATTCCCGTGGGACCCGAAACTTCTGCTCCTTGGAAACCCGACGACTCCCCGTACGGACTGGTCCCCCTACGAGAGGAATCTGTTTCACATAACAAGAATTGAACTCCTGATGCTCTCCTGGAGGGCGCGCTGCTCATTTGAGCGACAACAGCATACTTTCATTGCCCCCCATGCAAAGGAGCACCTGTCACAGTATCTGATCGGGAGGGTAAGAGCAGCGTGGGATCACACCAAACAACAAATCCAAAAAATTAAGGATGACCCCATCCTCACGGCAACACAGAAACAGAACAAGGAGCAGGAACTGACGACTGCTTTTACAGAAGAATGGCTGGGCCCAAAGAAAGCCATGGCGGACCTTCAGGGTTCCCACCTCCAATGGAAGAACTGGAGGATGGATGAACACGAATGGCCCCTTGAGCCTTATTCCCATTTCGGGATCCCATTTGCAGCGGATCCCCCCTCTTTTGTTCTCCTCCCGGGATGAACACGTGGATGCCCCTCTACTCCCCCTCCGTCCATCCGCCCTTCTCTCCACCTCCCCCTTCCCGCCACCCACTTTCTGTACCAGAAGACTGGAGAAGTTATGACTACTGGTGAGCTGCAGGAAGAGACTCGAAGATGGACAGCAGCCAAAGGAATCTGGAGACAAAATGACGAATGGGAGGGTTTGATTGCCAGGAGTGGGAGCCGGCTGCTGCATCAGGAGGACAGAGTGTGGAGTGAAGGCCTGCATGATCTTCAGGCCATACAGATCACATACAGATCACAATTTTCCAAATCATGGGTCTGCAGAGGGTTTAGGGTTTTGGGTTTAAATAAGCTCAAACAAGGTTTAAAGTTTAAACATGTCATTCATGAGATAACATACTGTTAACAATAAATTGGGAGCTGCAGAATAGGGCAGGTCAACAACAAAATAGTGCTCCATGATGGGATGGGTAACACTAGCAGCTCTGAGGGAAATGGAGTTTCGGGTTTGATAGGGTAAGTTGGCCATAGCCCTAGAAAAGTAAAAAAGCAAACTCTGTATTCCAAGATGTATAAAGGGACGCTGGACCCGGTTTCCAGCAGGTGCCGATCCCCACCAATAGATGGGGGAGCAGCCCGACAGATAAGCCCTCAATCCTGGCGGTTCTCTCACCACCGCCGGGATGGTGGGCTTACGCAGGGGCTATTCAAAAAAAAAAAAAGGATCATTATCACATGCAGCCATAACACAGCTTGTAGACGTTCATGACAACAGGCTTTGGTGTTTCAGGGAGGATGGTGGGTCCGGTGTAAACACCAAGAAAGGAGAGTAACCCTCCCGCGAACTTCCAAACCTCGATGAGGAACAAACGAAAGACAAAACAAGCAAAATTATCATCCTTGCTGAGCAATACAGACAAGCAACATCAGTGGACCCATTTGTACCCGAAGGAAGGTGGGAGCTGTTCATGCAGGTGTTCGGGCCGGCTGCAGAACCAGCTATGTTTCAGATCACTCAGGGGATCACTATGGAGACACTACCCGAAGTAAACAATTGCCTGCCCCGGACAGCCAGATTTGATTCGGAGGACTTCAGGAGGGCCGGCGGGCAGGGTCGGGATAATGAGCATGACTGGGGGCAATACAGTAAGGGCGATGATGGTCCGAAGGTTTACACCTTTTAGGTCCCTTTGCCGATAGCAACCTGATCTGTATAGAACAGGTAGTGCTCAGATGGATAGAGGCTTAGTGGTAATTCGGGGAGGGTGTTACTTGCGAAAAAAAAA